TGACATAATTTTGCTCATATGATTTTCCTCTAGTTTCTAAGAAGATCAAGTTTGTTGCAAGAAATGCTCATGAGGTAAGAAATACATTTGGTACTTTTATAGGCTCCTGATAAGTTGATAAAACCAGTTAATTTATAGGTCAATCAGCAGGCAATAAAAACAGCATCATGCAGACAGTTGCACCTCTCCTTACAGAAATCTTTTTGATAATAAGCACCCCTTCATTAGAAGCATTTTTTTGGTGAAAAACTTGATACCAACTTCAGAAAATTTGCACCTCCAAGGTGTAGACACCTCTGTAACAGAATTTGTTGATAGTTGTTTCTGTTCCTTTGGTGTCTGTGCTAAAGTCACACCAGGGAATGTTGTGGTCATTTGGCTATATATTTTTGAGATATATTTTATACATAGCAAGCCAGGATAGAGGTGTAACTGTAGCATATTCTCTAACTTTTTTTTTTCACAAACAGAAAAGCATTTTTTGTGTACGTCTGCTGGAGAATGGAACATTGTTGTCTGGTGGCTTAGATGGCAAACTTGCATTATGGGATGCTACTAAATATTTCAACACACCACTACAAGAAACCCAGGTCAGTTAAATTGTTAATTAAATGCTGTACTAACAATTGCATGGGCTGGAAGTTAAGGGAGAAGTACTCGTGATTTGGCTAACGATTTTTTTGCATTGTGCACCCCATTATTCGCCCTTTTCCACACCAGGGAGCCTGGTCCGAGGGTAGTCAAGCCCCCTTGGTGTGGGTGTCCTGTGGCTTTGTGGTGCCTGTAGTCATACAAACCTTCACTTAACAATCAGTTACTAGACCATTATTAAGCAGTTATGTTTATCTATTTATCTAGGTGGACAGTAATTTAGGTGGAATCTGTGCTCTTGAGCCAATGCACACAGGCCATGGAGATGACATTAGTATAACTATCGGCATGATAAGCAACTGCATTTTAGAAGGATCCTTTGATGCTCCTTTTATCCCTATAGTTCAGGTATTTTCTCATAACTGCCGTAAAATAAGGTTACACTTATTCAGTGAATGTCTTATACTCTGAAAACAAATAATGCTAATTTTCATCATTCTTAAGTTATTTAACTGCCATTTCATATGTTCTGGTTTGCTGAACATAATCTTTAAGATGTCCTTTTTTCATAATCTCCTCGCCCATCTCTGGAACTTCGTCCCTTCCCTATTCTTTTTGCTTACCCCCCAAATTTTTGGGTAACCTCCCCGTCCCCCATCAATTTTGGGCATATCCACTTCTTAGATACATCTTCCATAGATTCTCCCCTCCAGTCTCTTGAAAGGGCTCTTGGCTGACTCAAAATGTATGAGGCTAACTAGTTTCACTGTAGCTCCCTCCCATATTTTTAAGTGCTCACCTGGTTCGCCACCTAGGCTAATGAAATCAATGTAAGTGTTATTTCAAACATCTTGCTTGTTATCCTAAACATCTCTTGTCTTGTGCTTGCAGAGCCATAAGGATGAGGTGCATGCTTTAGCAGTGCATCCCAACGAGGCACAGTTTATCAGTGCGTCACTAGATAGCACAGTCTCTCTGTGGAATGCCGAGACCCATCAAGTCATGTGGACAGTAGATGTGGAGGTGTGACTTCATCAGTTTTGTACTTATTATTATTTATTATGTGTAACTGTACAGCATACATGGAGCTGTAATCTAATATCACCCAGTGGCACTGGCACCTTTTTGTTGCTCTCGGGTGACTTGGAAATCTAAGCTTTTTCATAGAAATCATATCCTGGGCACCATGGATTTCACAGGTTCAGAGCACCAGGTTCCCTTTCACAGGGTTCTGGCACAGTCTTGGGAATTTTTGAATTCTTGAATTTTAGGGGAAGTTCTTGAAAGGTCCTTGAATTCCATTTTTCCTTGAAAAGTCCTTAAATTTCTGGGCAAGTCCTTGAATTTTCTTCAACTTTGAATGTACTGGCCTGGAAATATTTTTTTGATGCTTTTTGGTTGTCCAATACAGAATATAAATCATAGCTCAGAGAATTTAAAGGTTATTTACATAAAGTGCTCCATGTTTTATGCAATAATCAACTGAAAAATGTAGAGAAGTCAGTGAAGCAAACAGTTCAAGCCTAAAAGTCTTATTAGAATAGACTGGGAATGTGCATTTTTGTACAATCTGTAAAATTATATTCCTAGTAGCTGGTCCTTGAAACTCTAATGTGGTCCTTGAAAAGTCCTTGAAAAATGGTTGCAATTTTTTGTGTGAACCCTGTTCCATTTTTCTTAGAGCACAGCTTTGATTTAGATGGATCTGAATCCAAAAGAAATTATAGTGGAAGTGCATGCACGTCTCACATTAATTTCATTGGTTGTATATCATTAGTAATCATCTCTGCTGTTGTGAGCTATTTGGTGAAGTGTATTTTTGTCCACAGTTTCCAGTCAAGTCAGCCGATTTTTACTCCACGGGGAGCGTTGTGGCTCTAGGGACAACTTTAGGAAGGTATGTTCATAACAAGCAAGCACCCAGGGTTAATTTGCACTCAACCCACTCTGGTCATCTGATTACAGTTTAGCAAAATGATTTCAAACTTAGAGTTCTATGCTATAAGTTCTGTTAGGATCTTCACCAATACAGACCATGCCTGACATGTTTTTGAGTGAATGAACAATTAAATGTTGTATTTTAGTTTGTATAACATAGAGTAAAAGTTCAATGACTGTTTACATGTGTATGCATTTTTCAGATGGATTGTTTTGTCATGTGAAGCTGGCATGCACATTGCTTCATTTCAAGATGGAAATGTTCCTCTTCCTGACCTTGAATATGCAAAAGGTAGATCACTAACTACAACGCTTTTATTATTACACAATTGTTTTTATTATTACACAATTGTTAATGTTATTGTTAAGTTGGTTGAAACGCCTTCTCAGCTTTTAGTTTAGTGACACATCACTTCATCTTTTAGAATCATACGGGATATTTACATTTGCATGTTGAGACTGAACCCTCTGCTAGAACTCAGACTTTTGTGTTGTGTGGCTTCGCTTGAAGCAAAGCTTTGGCAAGTATGCCGAAGGAACCTAAGAGTCTTTAACAGTCACAATGGTCTAGGTCTAAATTGATTTATCCTGACCTCAAGTTCCAGTTTGTCAAGTTTCGCCCACAGTGTGACTCAATAAACGAACTAGCCTGTTGGATTGTGTTAGAAATTTGGTTGCTTCAGCAACGTAACAGTTTCCAGCTGCTACATCAGTTAATTGTCACGATTTTACTGATCTCACTTGCAGATGGAGAGCACATAGCTATTGCCTCACAAGATGGTAATATTTATGTTCATGCAGTTTATGATGAAGGCACAACTTACAGAAGAGTAGGCTGCTGTTCGGTATGCTGCTTCAATGTATTTTTATTACGGTAAACCTAAAATGACCATCCACCTTAAGATTTTATACCTGCAACCTGAGGAGATGTAGTATTGTCAAAATGTTGTGTGAATACTGATTGATGTGCCGGGAGAGCTTTTAGAAATAGGATACCGTTAAAATATGATCTTGTAATGTAATATAGTTTAAGTGTTCTTACAATAATAATGTTTTATTCTGGCACATTCTCACAATTTAATGCTTTTTAATAAGATATACAATCTGTAACTTCAGATGTGTACTTTATCAAAGAAATAAAGGCACTGCTGCTATTCTTCTTCTTCTTCTTCTTCCTCTTCTTCTTCTTCCTCTTATTATTATTATTACATAACTGTTTCTTGATGTGGAGCGGGTTTGACATGTCTCTTCATAGGGTTATTGAGAATGCTGCCTCCTTAATTTGCGTATAAACAAATGTACTTAATCACTCGGTACTGAATGAGAAGCTTTGACAAACATTAACAGGAAGGAAATCTGGCAGAAATCCAACCTGTGTGTATGCCATTACTTTACTCGCTTAGATATGCTGTGTTAGCATCATTAAACTTTGTGCCCGTACTGGATTTTGGTAACAATATATCAGGGTTTTCAATAAGGTTATAAGTAGGTGACAAAAGCTTTGGAGTATAGGTGGAGGCGGAAAGACCTCGCACCTTCTGAGTGCTGAAGGTGTGAGTTTTAAGGGGGGTCTGGGGGCATGTCCCCATGGAAAAATTCTGAAATCTTGAAATACTGTGTTTAAACTGGTGTAGTTTCCAAAGAAAAGTAGGCAATAAGTTCACGTGAAATAGCAGGCGAATTTCGCTGGCCACAGGCTCTTATTGAAATCCCTGATGTATTGACTGTTAACTAAGCATTAGTTTACATTAATTTTGACCTGGTCATTGTCACTTTTAACAGGGTCACAGGGAACCCATTATGTTTCTGGACTGGTCTCTTGATGGCTGCTTTCTACAGAGTTTGTCCACTGATTATGAGCACATTGTTTGTAAGTAGACAGCAATTTGTTGTTGCTCTTTATAGTGGATAACAGTATTGATGATAGCAATCCATCCTTAATGATCCTTTGAGCGCAAAAAGTATCATTTGTACTAGTATATTGCAAAGTCAATTTTAAGCAGGTTTATGAAACAGGCTTTTTTTGGTATCTTTTTAGTATCTTGTATCTGTCTTGTTTCATAGTTTGTGTTTGCACCTGTAATGACGAAAAAATATATTGTTTGCACATTGCTTTGGTCGAGGTGAAATTTTATTTTCTCTTCATTTTTCAATTCCAAACATCAGACTCAATAATCGGGTCTTCTCTTGTCATTTCAGGGGAAATAGGTGGATTTCAAAGAGAAGAGTCCCAGGATGTTATTCGTGATATTGACTGGTCCACACGCAATGTCATGCTTGGTTACGACGTTGCAGGTATCTCTCCCATTCTTTTTTTAACCTAGTCTCCTAATATCATAGTGTTTTGTTTTCAACCTATCAATCCTAAGAAAGTCCCAAATTATTGTTATTTTTTTAATTAGTTTTCAAAAATAATGTAAAGAAGACAAGCAGAAACAAAGAGGCATATAGGAGATGTAAAATTAGGGTGGTGGTGGTGGTGTTTATTGGTAATTTTGCTCCAATCTTTGGTGTTTAATCAACGGCGCTGTTTATTCTAGGGTAGTGTTTAATCGAGTAACATGTGGGAATTGAGTGCTAAATCATTGTATTTGTTTCAAAGACTCAAAAGTTAGAACAACTAGTACATTAATTGTTTTCACTTGTGTTTGTAGGTGCCTGGCCTTCTCAGCCTGATGATGGTAACCTCATTAACAGTTCAGATCTTTCTTGGTCACGAGATGTGTTTGCCATTGGAGATGAGCTTGGTTACATTCGCTTATTTAGATTTCCATGCAGTCAACCTGGAGTAAGTAAACCAACATTAGGGATACCTCTGTGGTCGATGCCTCCGATATTATGATAACAGAAGGGTTCATACAGTCTTGAATTCTTGAAAAAATCTGGAAATTTGCAAAGCAATTTTCTAGACCTGGAAAAATGCTTGAAAGTAGACTGAGATAGGGGGAAAAAGCACTTGTTCTCGAAACTGCAACAAGTGCTTTTTTCCCCAATGGTCAAATCTTATTCAATTTCACCCCTAGCCTAGGCATTCCATCACAGTACAGGAAGTTTCAGAACTCTTTTATTACAGGGAAGCTATATAATTTATATTCATATCACGGAAGTCTCTGTAACCAGAGTTGTGAGTGAATACAGTCATATGACAGTGTGAACTAATATGAACTAAATTAAAAGTCGTAAATAAAGAATTATTCGATGAAGTTTTTGAGATATCCAGGATAATCAAGTTTGAGGTAAGTGTTATCAGCCGAGCTCAATGCCAAGGCTGATGGCAGCTACTGAGATCTTGATTATTCCTGATATCACTAATACCGTATGTAATAGAATTATTGTTGTATTATACATTGTTTTGAAGAAGGTAATAACAAACACACTGTCCCACAGAATCAAGTTGACATTTCTCTTGGAAATCAAGCATTGCAGGCACAACCTACAGATTTGTCTGACAGTAATCTGGTGCAGATAACTAACTAATCTGTAGGTTGCACTGATTTTCAGACAGCAAATGAGAAGACAGATAAGTACATTGTATAATAAAAGAAATTATTCCATTACAACCTATAGGCCCATTATCATCAGTGGCGTGGACACAGCTGTCCCATCACAAGGATGCTATTCTTAGCATCAGACACCCACCTTATTACAACTGGTAGTCGTGACTTCTGCATTCTTCAGTGGTCAGTGGAAGGACACCTCCCAGCACTGAATGAAGAAGAGGAATCTGAGATAGAAACTGAGATGCCTAGGGTGGCTAGGCAACAAAAGAGAAGCCGCCAAAAGTTTTCAGATAATAAGAGCAATCACTCTGGTTACAGTTCTGATGAACATAATGAGTATGATGATTTTTCTGAAAATACTGCAAGACAAAAACAACCAAGAGGCCAACGGCACCTGCATGAAAACAGGCGATATTCTGATGAAGCTTCTGGCTTTCTTGAAGTACCTCCAGGCCGTGGTAGACCATCCAGGAAATCACAACAATATAATGGCGATAATAGCAGAGCTTCTGGAAGGAGTCCACAGCGTAACATCCCCACTCAGAATTCCACCAGGTCACAGCAAGGCTCTTATGCAGATAGATTTAATAAACAAAAAGCTGCTAGGCCATCCAATCAACTCCCACCTGACGACATGGATTACTATTCAGATGAGGAAAGCCCAAGGATGGATCCGGGTGCAAGAGAAAGGGGGAGGGGTGGGGAGAGAAATGATTATCCCACCAGGGGACATGGTAGAAAGTTGAATAGAAGACCAATGAGATAGCAGATGTTGAAGAAGATAAAATGGAAGAATTACCTGGTGAAAATATGTTGCAAATTTAAGCTTTTGGAGTTTTTCTCCTTTAATTTGCAACTAAACACCCTTTGAGGAAGAAATGAACTAATAATATTATTAGCTGATTATAAAGTTCAGTTGAATACATGAACACAAGCATGCTTTTGTGCTAAGACTTGCAATTTTGACCAAATTCATTTTTTTGTTGAAATTGGGAACAACACCCTTCTTCCTCCAAGGGGTTTGACCAATGGCAAACCACCCAGCAAGATTTATTTAAAGTAGACGAGAATTTCACTTAGAAGATAACCTATAGGAACTGAAAGAATGTATGAGATTAATTTGTTTAAGGTATTTATGGAGACATAGTGTTCAAATTACGTCGTGTAGCAAAAGGTTTGTCATGCTAGGGATTTTATCTGAGACAAAAACATTCTTCCAGCAGCATAAGGCTTGTTATTTAAATGGTGTCTAACTTAGACAGCAATTTAAAAAATGCAGTGAGCCTCCAAATCTGTTTGTAAGGTATTTATTTGAAATAAGCGGATAATATGGTTTCTGATGTCCTGGCTGTAGGCCTTTTTGTCAATTTTTATGAACAGTTACTTATAAATGTTTAGATGGGAGGGAAACATCAAAGCACTAAAGGGCTGAATCTCTTCAGTTTAATGAAAATGTGAAAATGTATCGCAGGTGATGACATTTGAAATAATTATTTGAAGAAAGATTGATTTTAAAAAAGTTTTATAGTACTTAATTTTTTTACAAAAAATTTAGCTCATGAGCTTAGGAAATTACTTGGATGCACAGTTTGTGGTGCTTTCATTTTTGTTTTTATTTTGTTTTGTTTTGTTTTTTAACAAACAAAAGGAAGCTGCTGGCAGCTTGTAAATGTGACAATAAATTTAAGAATTATTATTAATATTTATTTAAAAGAGATAGCATTGTACACCAACACATTGTTAAAATTTAAAACTCTTTAGGCATCATATTTTATTCAGCACTTTGTCAGATGAAGAGACACAAGGAAATTATTTTGCTAGCATAGCCAGGTCAGGAGAGCACTGATGGTCTGAATCATCCATAGGAGAGAGATTGCAGCCTCTTTGGAAAAAGAGGCAATTTAAATGGTAATTGGGTGATGGTGATCAAAATCTCTTGATGTAAAAAAACTTAATGACAAGTTTAATTTTTAATCTGATATCACATTACATGTAATGTACAGATAACAGTTATTGTCATAGCTGATAAAGTTAAGATCAGAATCATTAACACTACTGTCTTTGTAATTATTTATCTTGCCATCTCCATACTGGAAATCACATACCCATCACCTAATAAAAAAATGTTTATGCATATAAAGTATTTTCCTGCAGTGATCATTTTCCCAAAAGCTATCAATAAGTCAATTTCAAATGTGGGCTTACAGAGTTGTATTTTTAAAAAGCCTTTTCTTGATGAGAAAGTTGCTTTACAGACTAGAAGTTGGACCAGACAGGAAAATGTTTGCCACCATCACTACAAACTGCCATAGCTATCGTCATCATCATCATCATCATCATCAAAATTTTGTCTTCACACGATTTACTGTTTTCATTATAAATGTGCCAAATTTGGCATACCCAATGCAATTAGAAAATATACAACTACAGCTATCTAATGTTAGGAAAAAAACGTTTTTGGATGTTACTCCTTTGTATGATACCATGAAAATCTGTAATATAAGAATCTTGTCAACCTAAGATGTTTAAGAGGCTGTGCCATGGTTGTCTGGTTCATTTTGTTTATAACATCAGTTAGGCATCCTTAATCGCTTTGAAACTTGAGAAATTACCAGTGAATGGCAAAATCACAGCCTTGTGTCAAGTCAAATAATGTCTCTCAAGCATTATACCCATCATCACAAACAACAAAAATGAACTTTGAAAAACTGTTAGGCTAACAAGTTTTCAAAAACCTGGCACAACTGCAATCCCCTTAAATCTTCTTCAAGTTTGTCCACCTTCAAACCCCTACCCTGTTTAAGACAAAAATTAGTTATTATGCCACCCTGTTTAAGACAAGACAATATCTTATGACCCTGATTTGTTTACATCGTGAAATAAGATTTTTTGTAAAAACAATATTATTTGTACCACAAATGTGGATCACTCATATTGATATTCAGTCAACTCTCTTAGCCCTTTAAATCCCAAGTGATCAAAATCAATTTTCTCCTCACATTTTCAACATATAATTAAGTTGAGAGGTTAAAAGAATTAACAGAATAATCACTAAAAAAAATGCTTTGATCTTTAAACAAATTCTCTCAACCAATTTTTCAAGGAAATGTATGGAGGCCAGTCAGGAGAATTTGTATGTTGATGATGGGACTGAAAGGGTTAAGAAGGACCGGCACTAAAAGTCCATCTAAGAGTAAAGTCCATCTTAGGAAACAAAGAAAGCTAGGCAGGGACCAGCTCTAGGTGTCTGTTTTACTCAGGTGTCCATCTTATAGAGGTGTCCATTAAGAGTGTGGACCAGTCAGACAGAAGTGTTTCTTTTGGTTTTCCAGTGTTCAGTCCCGGAGATACCTTACTTTTCCTAGACAGTAGTTGATAATAGTCCATCGTTTTCCAGACATGAATGCCCTGCTTAACATAACAGGTATCTGGTAATGATTGAGCATGAAGAAAGGCCAAGGATCACTTGCATCAAATACTGCATCTTCGCCATTTATCAAGGTGTGAATGAATTCTCCTATTCCCTGCTGAAAAAGACCAAGTTTGGCAATTTCATTGTATAACCAATAGACATGTTTTGACGAAGCTGATGGCTCTGATGGCGTTGGTAACTGGAATTGATCTTCCATGGCTCCACGTATGGCTGCTTCAAGATTTGGCTTCATCTGGTAAGAAACCACACATGAGTGAAGACGTGGATTACACTCTATGCAATAAATTTCGCCAGAGTCATTTTCTTCAAGGAAGTCGAAGCAAATACAACCAGTGATTTTCTTGGTTTTACAAAACTCTTCCACCCATTTCTTTATCTCCGAATGTTTGGTAACATCATAGTCAATTTGCACTGGTGAGCAAGGACAGACTTGAAAAGCTTGAAGACTTCCTTTGGAAACAATGGCATTGGCAGCAAATTCTTTTCCTTTTATAAACTGGTTAACGAGATGTGGATTGTCGCAATTAAGCTTTGATTCATAGTGAGCTAAGAACTTCTCAAATTCAGTAGAGTCGCTCGGTATAGGAGTGAAGTTCAATCTGTCTTCAGAGTATGGCATCAGAGGTTTCAAGAAGTAATGTGATTTAGAGTTCAAGAGCAGCTCTTTCTTTGCCACTTCACGTACCTCTGCCAGGCTATGTACTTTTTTAAAATAAGGTACCTTCAGGTTTAGCTTGTTGCATTCTTCTAGAAAAAGAGGTTTATCATTAAGAATGGCTGTCACTTTCGGATCGTCGAGAGTCAGACATATGATTTGCGGATTCACCTCGGCAAGACGCTGTTTGATTATTGAGTCAGGCAAAGCTGCTTTTGTATGGCTCACTGGAATGTACCAATCAATCTTCTCTGTCTTTGCAACATTAATCACTCCTTTGATATAAGCCTCACTGTCATCTAGGGAATTAAAATCTGGGACTGTGTAGAACTTTGAAATGAAGCAAGACCATTGTGCAGCAGAACAACCAAATTCTTCTAAGTCAGCCAAAATTACGCGATGGCCAGCCTTTCCCAGTGTTTTGGCAATATGTAAACCCTTTGTGTGGGCTAATCCTGACACTAACACAGTTCGTCTAAGAGATGCTTCAAGATAGTCATGCTGTTCAGACTTTCTACCAAACAACCAGACACAAGTAGTGAAGATGAAACAGAGTGGCATTGCTGCCATTAACAACATAATACACAGTGCAGCCTTGACTCGGTACCATTGCTTTCCCAGTAGATTGGACAGTGATTGTAGGGGATTCAAGTTGGTTACTCCAGGCATCTTATATTTTACTTTCCTTGAGAGGGTAGAACTTGTTGGAAGACAAACATAATTTCTATGAAAACAAAACATACTTGTGTAACTACGCATTTACATTTCCTGGCTCCCTGTGGGAGAAGTTGTTAATAATTAGTACTTGCTTTAATACTAGCTGTTTTTGTCTCGTCACACAATGCTCCTTGGGGAGGAGCGTCGGGTGACAAGACAAAACCGCAAGAGAGAGACTAATATTTAGTGGGTGTCTCAGCTACAAACCATCATCAACACCCTCCACCCAAACACAGATAGCTCAAGTAACCCCAGCAGCCCCTACCCAAGTTCCTTTTCAGTTTGCCCAGTTTCGTGACCCTAATAAATGGAACTACAGGGTGTCCCAAAAGTTCGTTCCTCTAAATTCATGCACCATAACTTTTGATCAAAACTTCATTTTTACATGAAATTGCTGGAAGATGTTTATTTTTCTGTTGAGTGCATGTATTCAGAATTTCGGTTACTGGCATGCCCTTTTTGTTTTTGAATCACATTCTGTAGCCGTTGCTGCATGAAGTGGGATACAGCTTGTAGACCCACAGATGATCCATTTTGAGCTTTTCTATCACCTGGTGCGCAAGGGCCAGTTCAACCCCCAAACAATATTTGTTTAATTTAGGCAGCTGGAAAAAAAATATATTTTGGGCATTCATCCAAAAAGATAATCATCCCGGCCTCCTTCAAAAGCAAGATTTTGTACTTCTCTACAAATTTGAGACGAGCAGGGCGTTACTTGGCAGAATAAGCAGAGGTTTTTTTAACCAACTCAGGGGCCTTTAAATTTAAACATTTTAAACAGCTTTTCATCACCCTTTCTGGACTTGGCTTGTTAACTAATGTGAGAGCTTTCTCGTTGAGTCTCCTTTTTTTATATCTAGCCTCCTTTAAAACTGTTTAGCTGCTTTATGCGGGAGTTTTGGTCTTCCCCTTCATTTCTTGCCTTCAAAACCTTCATTCCTCCATGATCATTTTACCATCCAACATTCGGATTTTTCAAGTTTTTTTTAGCAGTTTCTACGACAGATAGGCCAGTAAATCGAAATATACATGCTCTTCCCTTAAAACAGCTGAACGTTTTTGCGTTAAGGGGATTTATCTTTCGTGATATTCACAAAAAACAAAGAAGGAGTTCGAGCAATTCGGGCTATAGAATAGAAAAAATATGTGGCTGGAAAATATACTCGCCCACGCGCACCTTTGACGGGGAAGTGCACAAATCGAATATTCGAGTCAAAAATTGGCACAACAAGTATGAAAATGGTGAATTAGATTGAAAGACAAATTTTGTTTCAGTGATTTGCTTTCCAAGTCCAATCGAACTGAAATACAGACTTATTAAGTAGAGGAACGAACTTTTGGGACACCCTGTATATGCTACTGGTTCAAACAGACAGGAGTCAGTTTACTCAAGAGATTATTTCACTCAAGAGATATTAACTTACATCCGATTAACTATTAGTCTCCTTCGCAGCCGCTATTAGGGTCGTCACGCAACGCTCCTCTTTGCGTGACGACCCTAATAAAGGCTGAGAAGGAGACTAATTATATTAATTATCGACTTTGGAGTCTTTTTTTTTAATTTTAAAGCCTCTCTGCGTACGTCGTTTTCGTCGCGATCTTCCCATCAAATCGTCTTCACTTTTTATATCGACCTATCAAACTAATCAGTCGCATATTTGCGAGT